AAGTTTAAGACAATTCAGATGTTTTAAACTTAGTGGTTTAAGCCATTCTCCTATACATGAGGCACAATGAGGCATTAAGACAGAAGTAACAATTCACAAAATTTCAAAACAGTATCTACTCTCATAAAGAAGTGCTACTTTGTAGATCTGAAACAGACTTTTACCATTTCCGATGTCGTTAGATGATTTCAAATACAACTCATTTATTCAAATGACTCCTTAACAATTCTCCTCACTGTGTTTTGCTAACCTTCACTTCAAAAGCAGCGTCATCTGAGTAATTATAATCAATTACTAAATACAGCACAGAGTTAAATCACTTATGAATTAATTCAGTTATATAACTGTTCTTTACAATAAGCCAAATTTTGTATTTTCGTTACCAACAATGATCAGTATTTATATTGGAGGACACGTTTATGGTTATAATAGTGCACATCCTCGAGGAGGTACCAGGAGAGTTCCACCATCGACCAAATTTACTAGGGATTATTTACCAAGGAGTTGCACAAAGACAAACAAAAATTGAATAGATTACAGAGAATAACATTCATGTTGACCTTTAAAAATATGTCACTAAGTACTCTTCCTAAATAAAACTCTTTTCAGTACTTACCACACTATGTTTTAACTCACACAAGTGGAAATCTGAGTAAATTAACCTATTTGTTATTAAAATTTTACTTTAAAATATAGGGCTCTCTTAATGGTTGTAAACAGCTATGAGAGAAATTGAGAGACTAAAATCAAGTTCATTCTCTTGTATCAAATTTTAATTACTTCAAACTTGGAGATTTGCTACCACAGCAGAGACGGTTCTGTTTGCTTTTCAGCTAAAGCACTGTGTGAGATCAATATTACTTCATTTACAAACTGAGAAACAGAGCTTAGTTATCATCTCATGAAATATTATATAATATGTGACGATGTTAGCCAAATCCTTAATGATTCAGTTAGTAGGTTACTTATGCTCTGTAGTTTCTTCTATCAAAGCTCCCAACAAGCTGCTTTCAGCCAGTTAAAGAACGGTCATCATCTCCCCGGGGCAGTGGATTAAGGACTGCACCAGTCATTCCACCTGCTCTCTGCTGGTAGCTCTGGCTCAGCTCACGAAGTTCCCTGAAATTCTTAGAGGACTTGGGGTCCAAGTTTCAGGAAACAAGTCAAGCGTAACATCTGGTAATCCTGAAAGAAAAAGCTATAAAATCCCAGGAAAACACTACCTGTACACCCAATTCTCACTTCACCGTACCTTATAAACACACCAAGTAGAGCTACCTTCCGAGCAGTGAATTCACCTCAGCGGCACATCTGCCTCTGTTCTCCTTCCGGAGGGCAGAGAGGCCTCCAGGATTCCGTCACCATCAGAGGCATTACCCAAGACCGTGGGACTGTGGGTAGCAGATCTTTGCCACTATTTTTCTCTACATTTACAGGCATAAATAAAAGCCTGAATGGTCCTTCGGGGGGGGGGACCTCAAGAATCTCTAGCAACAGTTATCTAAAAAGGATTTTAAATTGAGGGTTAAAATTGGCCTAGAAATATCAATTAACTGAATACTTTTCCATAAAAGTATACCTAGCATAATAGAGAAACATCAAAAAACATACATGTCAAAATTATATGTACATATACTTTATAGAGATATAACTACTATATAGAGATAAATCTATATATACAGAGAAAAAGAGGCATTAGTCACCTAAGTCTTGGATATTTCTAGGATATATTCTGAACTTCCTCTTCAGAAGGTACATGATAAAACCAATATGTAGATATATAATGTTAATAGCTATTATTATCTAGATATGTTTTCTTAGGTGGACCCTCTAAAATACAGTGCTATTCAGAACTCCTTTAAAAAGTCATATTAAGGGGTGCCTGGGTGGCTCAGTGGGTTAAAGCCTCTGCCTTCAGCTCGGGTCATGATCCCAGGGTTCTGGGATCGAGCCCCGCATCAGGCTTTCTGCTCAGCGGGAGCCTGCTTCCTCCTCTCTCTCTGCCTGCTTCTCTGCCTACTTGTGATCTCTGTCTGTCAAATAAATAAATAAAATCTTTAAAAAAAAAAAGTCATATTAAATCTTTGAATCACAATTATTATATTAACTCATTCATTCATACTACATGACCTGCCTTTCCAACACTATCCTTAAGTACCCAAATATCGAAAGATGAAATGAATTCCAAATTCACCATAACTATACCGTTACAGTGAGAGCAGAAAATTGGCATTTATACTTTTGTGCAATATTGTGTCAATTAACTGTCTTCTGGTGAAAATAATCATGAACTGTAAGTATCACAGAGTGGCTGAAAATATTTTCTTAGCATAAAACATAGACAAGACTAGCAAATAACAGAGTCTTTAAAAACAGTTTTACACAATGACTTTTAGCTATTATCTTTAAAGGCCTGATTCCAATTTCATACCTCCATTGCTTGAAAGCAAAGAGATTTCTTTGCTCAAAATTTATACGATTTTTCCTCTTCCAATGTGAACATATTTAAGCTCCCATAGGAACAAGTTTAAGTTTCTTGATCTCTAAATGTGGTTAAGTCAAGCACTATTAGACCCACCAGCCTCTGACAGTTAGGACAGGGCTCAGGTAACTACACGGCTGCCTCCTGAAGTAACTACTTCTGAATTTATTGTACTCAAATAAAATAACATTGTTTTTGTCTTTAGAGATTTTAGAAAACAACGATTTTAGAGAATGAATCACAAACTGCTCTGCTAAGTGAAATTTAAATAAAAACTATCTAATATTCAGCAATGGAGATTAAAGATTTTAAGATTTTTAATTTAAAATCAAAAGCAAAATTGGATATTTTACATTAAATTTACTATCCTAATATATCCTTGAAAGTTCACTTGTCCTTTGATTTCTCAAAAAAAGGGCCTATTTTGTTACTATAACCATAAATTCTACTATTATAACCCATATACTACTTTTTTTTTATACATTCACTATTAATAAGATAGTCTAACGGGGCACCTAGATGATTCAGTCAGTTAAGCGTTAAGACTCTTGGTCTGGTCTCAGGTCATGATCTCAGGGTTGTGAGAATGAGTTCCATGCACAGTAGGGAATCTGCTTAAGATTCTCTCCCTCTCGCTCTGCCCGCCCCCATGCATGCTCACCTGCCTGTGCTCTCTCTCAAATAAAATAAATAAGATCTTAAAGAAATTTTTTCAAATAGAAAAAAGTTATGATGAAGTATTTTGCCAAAGATTTTATTAAACAATTTTTTTTATTTTATTTATTTATTTTACAGAGCGAGAGAGATCACAAGCAGGCAGAGAGGCAGGCAGAGAGAGAGGGAGAAGCAGGCCCCCTGCTGAGCAGAGAGCCCCATATGGGGCTCAATCCCAAGACCCTGGGATCATGACCTAAGCTGAAGGCAGAGGCTTTAACCCACTGAGCCTCCCAGGCGCCCCTTTATTAAACAATTTATCCAGGCTTACTATTTTCTTTTTCTAGTACATTGACCTGTTCACCTGAAAAATAAACATCCATGCATATAATACAGTACATTAAGCTATAAAAATAGGTGGTTCGTATTGCTAATTGACATGTCAAATTAAAAATGAAATATTCACAATTACCATGTGTGAAACAAGTTCATACATTACAGACAGCAAACGGATAATAAATTAAATGTTGGTGGTAAATGTTGGTAAAAAGTAAAATAACACAAACAAGATCCCAACGCTAAGAAGTTCAGAGCTAGGATTTGAATTCAAGCCTGCTGTTGCCTTGGACATAAAAGATATGCAACAAACAGTCGTTGAATCATTTCTTGAAAGACTCCTAAATCTACCTTCTAAACTCTTAAAAGGAAACTGTTGTGGCCTTTGAGAAAAGAAAGTTTGTTTGTACAGCATAAATGTAATTTTAGTCCCTCAAGTGTTATTTCCGAGAAGGAAGCGAAATTCTGCAAATATATTTGGTAACTTCTCATAAAGGCAAAATTGAGCTGGACTTAAAATATAACTGGTCCTAACTATAAATATAAACCAAAAGAAAAACATATTAATTTGCTGATTGTATTTTTCTGAAAGAATGACTCAGCTTTAACCATAACAAAATCTCACCCAATACAATCAAAGATTAAAATTTGATTAAAGCTATGATTCAAATGCAAAAGTAGTCATTGTTTTACATTAAATAGATACATCACTGTAACACGTGTATACTAGATATAAATATTACTATTTTACCCCATAATCTCAAGTGAATCAACTGAGTAAGAAACTCTATGACCTTTCTATTTCTAAAAACCTATTAACCTAACTTCATCTCTTCAATGGTCACAGTAAACTTATAATTATGGAAAGAAAAGTTTCTTTACTTTGCAAGTGGAAAAACTGAAATCACAGGGAAAACACTTTGCCAAGGGTGATTCATGAAGTCAGTCTCAGAGGGCAGCCTGATACTCACGATGTCAAACTCCTCAACCCAGGGGAAAGAAATCCGTATTAGCGCACTGTACGTCCAGCCTGCGAACTCACAAGAGCAAACCGACCTCCCTGGAGAGGAGGGAATGAAAGAAAGAAGAAGGGACAGAAGGACAGACGGGGACACAAGTTTAACACATAGAAGGAGGGTCTGAGCTGCAGATAAGGCTCCGAGTTCCTGCCTAATCTGGAACTTGGGCGCAGCAGGGCCTTCGGAACTGGGCAAATACTGTGTGAAACAGTGAGATCACCCCAAGTTCTCCTCTCGCAGCGGAAAGGGCAAGACCTACTCTTGGGGGCCACTTGTGACGGACACGTTTTCCAGTTTAAGTGCATGACCCGAACCTGTGTCACCCGAGAACGCCTAACTGGAGTGTTCAACGCAGGTGGAAAAGCATCGGCTCCACGGCCCAGTCCCGCATTCTTACCGCCGGAAATCAAGGAAGGTCAAGGTCAGGGGACTGAAGCGCAGCAGGCCGAGCCCAGGCTGAGGAGACCGACGGCAACAAAATGCGAACTTGAACACGAGGACCCGCACAGGCGTTGTCAGGCCGGGCCACCGCACTGCACCGCGGGCGGAGCGTCAGACCCCCAGCGCCCCTGGCACCACCTCCTGCCCCTGGGCTCGGTTTGTTCCGTTTGCCCAGAGGGCTGAGCCGAGTCACCCGCACAAGAAACCCCGGTTCAAACCCGCGTACCAGAAGCTCCTTCCCCGCCACCCCGCACGCTCCCCGTCCCCCGCATGCCCGCTGCTGCGCCGGGCCCGCTCGGGCTGCCGGCCAGGCCCCTCCCCTGTCCGCGTCGGTCGTGAGGACTCGAACACGCTCCCGCACGGCTCAAGGAGGCCCTCGGTCCCGCGGCGGGGGCACCTCGGCCGCGCGCGCTCGCAGCCGGGCGGGGAGTCGCCAGCGCCGGCCCGACGCCGGGTTTTCCCGCCGGGCTGCGGGCTCGTGCAGGGGAAGGGACACGGCCGGCGGGGAAGGGGCGATCCGCGAGTCCGGACCTCCCCACCCCGCACGCTCCCTGCCGTCCGCGCCTCCTTCAGCGCCGGGGCGCGCGCTCGGTGTCGCCGCCAGAGGTCGGCGCGGCGGTGTCCCCGCGCTCGGAAGCCAGCGGGACACCCACAACCAGAACTTTCTCTCGCGCGCGAACGCGGCGTCCCCCCGCAGCAGCGGGCCCGGAGGGGACGCACGCAGGGCTCCGGGGGACGGCGCTGCGGTCCATCGACCTGCACACCGCGGGCGCACGCGGAGTGCCCGAAAGTAGAGCGAGTCCCGCCGGGAACACTGCGGGGACCCTGGAGGAGCACCGCGCGGGCGTCCCGCACGCTAAGCGCGCCCGCAAGTCCCACAGCCGCGTCGTCCCTGCTCCACCCGCACCGCGTCCGGCCTCCTGCTCGGGACCCGCCACGTCGTCCACGCGCTCCGGGACAGTCGGCCCCGAGCCCCCTCCCCGCACACGGGAACCGGCGCGGGCCTCCGGGACCACAGGCACCCCCGGCCACCCCGGGTTCTGCTCCGGGCGCCGAGGCGGCCCGCGGGGAGTGGACCCGGCGGTGAGCCGGCGGCTGACCGAGAGCCCGGGTCCCCTCGCCCCGCCGCGCCCCTGACTCGGCGTCCCCACGGGGAACCGCTGGACCCACGCAGCGGGGGCTCTCGGCGCGGGCGCCCCCCGGACTGGGCCCCGGGCCCCGGCTTTGAGGACCCCCGAGGCGGCCGAGGAGCGCCGCCCTCCCCGCCCCCACGCCCACTCGGCCCGGCGCCAACAAAGGGGGGTCGCGCCGCACCAAGTTTCGCTCGGGGTCGTGTCGCTGAGACCCGGCGACGTCTTGCGGGTCAGTCCCGTCGCGCCCGCGCCCCCTCGGCGGCGCCGGTCCCCCCGCTCCCCGCCCCTCCCCCCCCAGCCGGACACGCGCCCCAAGTTACCACAAAGGGCGGACGAGGGGGTCCCGGAGCCGCGCGCCGGCGGGTCCCGCCCTCGCCGGGCTCCGCGTCCTCCCGGCAGCCGCGCCACCGCGGTCAACAGGTCTTCGCCGCCTCCGGGCGGGAGGACGACCCCGCGCTCGCGCCGCCCTCCCCCTGCAACCTGCCCGCCCGCGCCCCGCGCCCCCCTGCCCGGCGCCCTTCCCGCGCACCCCGGCCGGACTGGGTTCCCGCCCGCCGAGGCCCGGCACCGCGCGGCCGCTCCTTACCTCCCGCGCCGCCGCAGTCGGCCGCGCTGCGCGTCCTCGGGGCCCGCCGGCTCCGCCCCCGCACGGAAAGTTGCCGGACGTCGGCGCGGACTCCGCACCCCCGGCCGCGGCCCGCCCGCCCCCCGCGCTGCCCGCCCCGCCGCCTCTCGCGCGGCCGGAGCGCTCACTGGCGCGGCGGGGCTGCCTGCGCGGGCCTCGGGCGGGGCCAGCGGGACGCGGGGCGCCCCCTGTCGGCCGGCGGGAGCGCCGGTGGCAGCGCGGGATCCCCGCGAGCGGGACCGGCTGCGGGTGCTGACGGGCTTCCGGGTGCGGGCGGGCGGAGGGGCCGAGGGGGGCGCGGGAGAACCGGCCCGGACAGCGGAGGCCTTTCCCGACCGGCGCCGGGACGGAAGCGAAACCACGCCCCCACCGCGCCTCGCCCCCCCCCCTTACCTGGACCCCCCACCCCCACCCCGGGCCCCAGCGAGGCTGTGCCCTCCCCGTGCGCTCCGGTCCCGCCCCGCCGTGAGACACGCGACCCGCCGCCACGGGCACATGCCCCTCGGAGCCCAGAACTGCGCGCGGGGCGTGCGGGAGACACGGCCAGCGGCCTCCCCGCGCGCGCGCGGACCGGGAAGGCGCGACCCTAAAGCGCGGGGGCCTCGACGTGTGTCCGAGACGCCCGGGACGGAGGCTGCGAGGGTTCCGTTCGGAGCTGAGCATAGACGGTCAAGGGACAGCGCCTGTGAGGCCGGCGGAGGGGAAGGGCCGCCGTGCGGTGCGGGGCCTGCAGTCGGACAAACAGACTCTCCCAGACCCCGACGCCCCGCTCCGCGCCCGCGACGCCCCGCAGGATCCCAGCTGCCGAAAGCGCTCGTGCGGTCAGACGGACAGAGGCGCGGCCGCAGCGGCGGGAGCAGAGCAGGGTCAGCGCAGAGAAGGCGCCCGGCGTCCACGCGGTCGGCGTCCACGCGCCCGGCGTCCGGTTCTTCCCACCGCACTTCACCGTCCGGAGAACAAGGCGGTACCCGGACCCCCCCCCACCCCGACTTGTTGACTGAAGCAGTTTTCTTCCCGCCGACGCCTTTCCCGCGGGAGAAGACGCGGCCTGCGGTTTCCGGAGCGGACGCTAACCTGAGGGAACACGCGGCCCTCGTCGACTCTCACGGTAAATGCGACGTGACCACAGTCCTGGACCCCAGCGGACCCACCTCAGACCCCGTGAGTGAGGAGAGCCGGAGCCACTACCGGACTGAGGCCTCTTTGGACGTGGTCAGGGCGGCCCATCCGGTCTTCCTTGTTACCGCAACGGCCCAGCGCGCGGTGGGATCATTGAGTAACAACAGTCCGAGGACCGTGTTAACTGCTTTTTCTGTAAATAACCTTAAATCGATTTCAGTTATTCCTAAGTAGCGGTCAGGAAGCGACGCGCGCTGTGGACAGTGAAGACCAGGGCGGTCAGTCCGCGCCGGGCCGCGCCGGGCCGCGAGGCGGCGGCTTCCCTCACGGTGTCACGCACGTCCGCGCTCTGCTCGCGCCGCGGGGCTCTGCGCTTGACCGAGAAGCCCGGGTCCGCGAGAGCGTCCGCAGACCCCCGGAGCGCGCGGCCCGCATCGTGAGGAGCGCGAGACCCGCGTCGACCTGTCGCAGCTCAGCGGGACGGGTGCGGGCCGCGAGACAGACCGGGCTCCGGAGATCACGCGCCGTCCGCGCTTCCCGACGAGGTAAGGGAGAATTCCCGCAACCCGCGCTTCTGGCTCGCCTGCTTCCGGCTTGGAGAGCGGTTCTTCCGGGCGCTTCCTCGGTTGACGCCGAGACCCACGTGACCTCCACGCCCTCAGGTTCTCCGAGGAAAGGCTCTGTTCGCCCTCCGAGCGGGATGCGCCGCTCTCGCTTCCTCCTCCGTTAGCCACTGAAGTCGTTTCTGGAGGACGTCGGGCGGCCCGGTCTGTGCGCCTTTCCGCGGGGCTTAGAAGCTGCCCGAAAAGAAACGCTAGATGCTGTGACGCGCGTCCGTCATGGCCGACGAAGGGGGGTGAATCCCCACCGCGCTCCTCCCGTCACGGCACGCGGTGCTGAACGCGGCTCGTTTTTGTATTTTCTCCCCGTGTTGACATTCTCCGAACTGGCTACGGCTGTGTCTTTCGTCACCGGACGTGACACGAGCTGTTCCGTGAGGCGGCTCGGAGGTGCAGACACGCAAGGACGCCGAGAACCAGGTTGTCAGAAACGCTGCAACCGGACAGGACGAGGCGCGCGGCCAGGTCTGCTACGGAAGAGCGAGCCGCGGAGGGCTTCGCGGGCCCCGCGGGCGCCGGCACTACCGGGCGCCTAACCGCCGCGCCGAAAGTACTCGGGTTTCTAGTTGAAAACTCTTCACATTCATCACTGTGTGTAGAGATTCGGCTCCTTTAAAATATTTTCTAAATTAATTTTCTGGCTCAAGCCTGTTTGAAGTTTCTCTTACTTGAACTGAAAGAACCTTGACAAGGAAAAAAAACTACATGTTTTTTTAATGGTGAGAATAACAATTTCACTGTTGATTATTATGAAAATGCACAAAAACAGGGTGCCTGGGTGACACTGTCGTTAAGCACCCAAGTCTTGGTTTTTGCTCAGGTCGTGATCTCAGGTTCCTGAGGTGGAGTCTGCTTCAGATTCTCCTCCCCTCCCCCTGCATAACCCCCATTCGTGCACTTCTCTCTAAGATAAATAAGTAAATCTTTTTTATACACAGAGACATGCTGGGTTTTTAGCTCTGTATTACCACAAACCCATATTTTAGAGCATTAGACAAAATTCTTTTTAAAGAAAAGAAAAACCAAGATGTAATTCAAAATCTCAGTTGTGTGAATTGAAATTGAAAAGGGAGCATATTTCTTTTTATTATGTGAAACAGTGGCCAAATCTTATTCACTGAGTTCCTAGGGGATCTGGGTTCCAAAATTAATGTTACATTTACTTTTGCATCATCCTTTTATGTCTTTTTCTGATTAAGAATATGAAACTCATTGCAAAAAAAAAAAAAAAAAAAAAAACCATAAAACAAAACAAAACAAAAAAACCTGTGAATAAGGCCAGTACAAAAAAGAAATAAATACCACCTGCATTTTTACCACCAGGAGTGCCCATTGCTAACCTTTACACTGTGTCCTCCAAGGATTATTGAGGACCCTGAGAGACTCTCCAATAAATAACATCCCTTCTCAACGTCTGGGCTGGGAAGAAATTGAGAAATAAAACAAAAGTTCAAAATGGAAGCTAAAATATTGCCTGTATTATTGACAGAGACTTGGTTTGAGTTGGTAGATCTAAAAATGAACAATCAAAATAGTAGTTTCAGTCACATCGTTCCTGGTCTCCCTACTTAGGAGATATTTTTGAAAAAGGAGTTGTTCCTGAGATCTATGAGATCAGAAAAAAAGAGAGATATGGAGGCAAAGGCAGAAAGAGAGAGAGAGAGAGACGAGAGATAAAGGTTTATCTAAAACCAGCACACCCAGAAATTCCTTCCAAGTTCGTTCCTAAATGTATTTATCACATACCTTGCAACACCACTCCAAGAGCAAATGAGTAAAGACCCAGAAAAAAATATTTTAGCAAAGAAATCAAGAGCTGAGAAAAGGCGTTACCCAGTATCTATAGCCACTTCTTTCTTTTTCTCACAGGAAAGTAAATGGTACATATTTACTACTTAGTAATAATTTAATAATATATCATAGTCTTACCCCCCCACACCTGTGTTTATTAGTATATTTTATGCCATTATAAGCAAACTGTGACCAACTGGACATATATTTATGTTTGACCCAGGTTATGAATCTTTGGGTAAAACACAGAAGTGTAATACTATATTCTCTTTTTATTCTGTCATATTGCATTTCATTTTGACGTATCCCATTAGGGATCGTCTTCTCTTAAGGTGATGGTCCCTGTCAGGCATCTCCTCTATAACCTTCATCTCTTTCCCTTTGTAATTAGCAGGTATTTTCTGAAGAGGTACTTTGAAACTATGTAAATGTTTCATTCCTCATCAAGCTTTCAGTTCATTCATTTACTTATATTAGTATAGATCATAGTTTGCTATTTTATTCAAATGATTATAATCTATTATTTTCATGATTTATTTTGAGATTCAGATTGTATCAGATTTGGCTAAAGTGAGTCCTTTCAAGCTGACGTCTGTGTCCCATGGCCTTGTCTCCAGCATCCAGGAGCACTTCCTCACTATAGGACACAAAAAGGTATTAAGGTCTCACTTCGCATGTTCCTGGCCCCAGCTCTGGAAGGAGCCTCTGCTCTGAAGAAGCCCGCCCCTTCCCCTGAGGATGGTATTTACAGTCTGACCTCCAGGCGCTGTGTCATTGCCATTGGGCTTTTTGCTTTCCTGAGTCCTTTTCAGTCGCCAAAACCTGGGAATACGTGTGTGCATTTACAGATTTTATTCCCTCTCCCGCTGTATCTTTCATTTTGAAAATCTTGAGCTCGTACACGTACCTCTAATTCCAAATTTCATATTTGTAAGTCCCTTCTCCAGTGAAAATCTAGTTCTACTCCCATTATCCTAATATATTTTCTTATTTAGCCAGTGTCCTTGTCTGTAACGGATTTCCTATGGCTGTCACCGTCCCTCCCCTGTGTGGCCAGGCCACGTCTCCGCAGGAATATCTTTACCGTCTTGCTCCAGGCAACGATTCAGGACAGACTCGCATCGGCACACACCCAGGGCTGCAGCACATGGCCAGGCTGCCTTCTGTGTGACTCCTTCTGCATCTCTCTTGGGCTCCAACTTGTTACATGAGGCTGTTCCTCCACAAGGCCACACTTTTCACCACACTTGGGCTTCCTGAGCCTGCTGGGGCCACTGCGATCCCCCCATCCCAGTCCCAGTGCAGATGTTTACCCCACTTGGCCACTCGTAACAGATGAAATTTGCATTGCCCAACTAATTCTGGAAGGTTAATGGGCATGCACACTCTTAAGAGCGGTGTGTGAGGGAGTACCAATTCTCCTCTGTGCAGCACTCATGTTTTCTTTCTCACCTGTGTTACCCGGTTAGTGAGGGAGCGGGTATAGATGGCTGTGTGAGGCGTGCTTCTCCGTGTCCTGGACAACGTCCAGCAAGAGCCCACAGTCCCCTCTCGATTTTGTTTCATGATGTGTTTTTATCTCCATTTTCTCCATTCGCTAACCCAATACCAGCATTCATTCTAATGTATCTTAACGTGGTCCTTTGAAAAATTTTATATGTATTCTTACAAAATTCTTAATGTTTATGCTTTTTAATATATGTAAGTGTTGCTGTGTAAACTACTCCATCTTGGTTGTTACTTTTTTCTCCAAACACCTTTAAGTTCTCAACTTAAGTTTCAACTTAAAGTTCACCTTTAAGTTGTCAACACCTTTAAGTGAAAATTTAGCTCAATTATTCTTTGAATTCTTGTTTTATTGTTTAACTTTCATATCAATAAAGCTGAATATGTTTCCATACAGTTAGTAAGCATCTGTATTTTCTTTTACAAACTGGCTATTTGAATATTTTATTCATTTTTCTCTTTTTCCAATGGATTTATTTTCTTTTTCTTACAGGTTTTTAAGCATTCTTTATTATATGTATTCATCTCTAGCAAAAAGTAAGGTGTTTCCTTAAACTTAATTTAAATTCCTCGGAAGCAGCAGAGGGTTTCTCTAATTGACACAAAGACCCCATGTAGGCTAGCGGCAACCCTTTCCCTTTTATCTTTTGCTATATTTGCGCAATACATCAGTATTAATTACCTCAGCCCGTAATTGTTCAAATGTCTGTTTAGGCAAGTTCTTCATTATTTTCCCTTTAAAAATTTTATCAGTATCTTCTCAAATTTATTTTTCCACTTGAACTTTGGAAACATTCTGTTAAATTTCCTCATCACATCTTTTTCTTCCCTACTTTTGACTGTGACACTTTTCTGTTAGAAGCACTATAAATATATATATCCATTTACTTGAATCACTTCTTTATCCATATTTCTTCTTCTGATCCTGAAATAGAAGATGCACTTCCAACTTGAAAAGACTCCTGCACCCATTCATGTTATATCTTTACCCTCCAACCCATTACACTGCCCCTGTTAGTTTCCTGGTTACTGCTAAGAGTGAAAGAATCATTATTCCACAAAACCACAGAATACAAATAACACTTAGAATGCAACAGCCCTGCTTTCCAGGAGAAATGAGGGAAAACGCAGACTTCAATGCAGGTCAGGTTTCCATTTCCAGTTCCATTTCTAAGCACTGTAGACGGTAATGAGTGTTAGGTGAAAGCCCGTCTTGACCAAGAGAGCAGAACTTGGACGTGTTTTATGGAAAGGTCTAGCCTAATGACCAGGAGTGGTCTCCTGAGATGTGTTCTCCCGCCCCAGTGTTTGCAGGCCTGGAACGTTTGCTCAAAGCAGTTTTATTGCACAAAAAACTGCTGAGTTCAGAAAATATTTTGCCCTCTTGAAGACTCACATACTTAAAATACAAAAATAGAACAAACAGAATTTTGTTGCAAATAGAAGAATGTTTTTATTTTTCTCAATAAGACTGGAAACAAATGATACATTCTAGGTTGTCTAAAAAATATTTTCTGGCAAAAGAGATCTTTGTTTGAAATTTATGATTTGCTATCTTTCACTAGAATATCATCTTAACTTCCCCTCAAAATCCTATATCAGAATTTGCCCAGACCTAATGACAGAGCCTGACAGAAAAGCAAAGCAAAGCAAGACACCTATATGCTTGGGTCTGACATAACGTGATTTGGGAAAATATCATCGTGCTTTAAAATGCAAAGGAGGAGGGGGCGCATGGGTGGCTCAGTGGATTAAGCCTCTGCCTTCAGCTCAGGTCATGATCTCAGGGTCCTGGGATCGAGCCCCGCATCGGGCTCTCTGCTCAGCAGGGTGTCTTCTTTGCTCTCTCTCTGCCTGCCTGTCTGCCTACTTGTGATCTCTGTCAGATAAATAAATAAAATAAAATGCAAAGGGGACATTGGCTCCTATTGCAATCTAACAACAAAAGACTTTCTCTCACTGACTCTCTTTTTCATTACACGGGTAAAATAATTCTAGCAGTGACTCTTCTGCAAAAGACAATCTATGGCAAGAATTGCTAGAAAAGAGACTTGTCATGTTGGCTCTGTGTCAACAGTCTCTATCCCGAGAACCTGAGAATACACACAGATCAATTACTATCAGTGCAGCAGAAATCTGCTGGTTTGCCAAGGGTATGACTGCACAAGCCCATTGTTCAATTAAAAAACGAAACCCTCTAGAAGCCATTTCAAAATTACACAAATCTTTCACATACACT